GTTGCCGTCGGAGTCCTTTCGCGAGTCCACCCTGCAGGCCGCGCGGGCCTTGCGGGGGCTGCAGCTGAGCTACGAGGCGCGCTACTTCGGCGGGTTCGCGGAGCCCGGGGAGGACGCGCGAGGGGGCGGCGGGAGGTGGGAGGAGGTCCCGGTGATCGGCCTTGGCGGCTGCCACGCGATGGATCGCGCGGAAGGCGGCGCGTCGGCCTCCGGGGAGCCGCAGGGCCTTCTCCGGCCGGTGAGCCTCACGGAGCTGCTCGAGGCGCTTTTTTTTCTTGCGAGCCACGAGTGCAGCAGCCGGTACCGCGTGGAGGGGAGCGAGCTGCTGACGTTGGTCGCGAAGAACATCCACCTCACGGCGCCAATCCTGAACCACTGCTTCGACGTTCTGAACGACGATCGGCTGTCGATCACCGACGACGAGGAGGATTTATCGCTCATCCGGCAGCAACGCCACCAGCTTTGCTGCGGGCGCACCGCCGTGCAGGTGATTCTTTCCAAGCCGATGACCGCGCGGCGGCATGCGTTGATTATGAAGCTGATCGCCATCCGCAGCGCGCACCTTTCCCTGCTGAAGTACCTCCGCATGACGGACCAGAGCGATACCGCGGCGGTGCTCGGCTGCTGCTTGGCGCTGCAGATCGTCGCGCGGGCGTCGAATGCGGCGCAGCACGCCCACATGTTAGCGCCCGCTTGGCTTTCCGAGCGCCCCGACGGCGAGAACGACGGCGACGACGCGATCAGGAAGCCGAACGACGCCGTGGAGTTCGACGACGAGTTCGCGTTTTCGCCCGGCCCCGCCGGGGGAGGGGCTTCCCATGGGAATGCGTTGCTGCGGGTGGGGCATACGATACGCGACGCGCTCGGGGATTCGTTATATCAGGTGGTGCTCTACCAACAGCTCAGCGAGGAGGAATGCTTTGCGATGCAGCGCGCCTCGAGGGATGCGGTGTTCACCGTGAAATAGACGTGACAACCCGATTAGATCATCACCCGTAAGCGGGTATCGAGGGAGAGGGGGGAGAAGGAATGTAAATTACCATCTTGCAGAGCCAAGATAAAAAGGATTCATCGCTTTCCGTTTTCACACCTTTCGATCTGCGGTTCGCCTTTTTTGCCGCTTTATTAACACATACACACACAAGATCAGATTCGATATATAAAAAAGGGAGGTGGAAGTCCTGCTGGATGAACGTCAGTCATTGAAAAGGATGGCTGAAGGCGTGCAGGCACAAGAACATCTCACGGTTCTTCAGTTTTTGCTTCCCTTCTCCCGAAATTTGCTTCCCGTTATGAATCAATTTATGTGCCTTTTTTCGCCTTTTTCATCTTCTTCTCTGCTGATGTACCATTGTGGATTTATTTCCATGCGGAAAGCTTAACATGCGTTTAAAAATTTTCGCCACTAATGTTGCTAGTGTTTGAAAATTTGAAATGCATATCGGCTCCATTCCAAATGTGAAGAGGTCCTAATTCTGCGAAAAAAAAAAGGATCGCGCTATCGTGTTTTTGGCTTCATGTTTTGTTTTTTGGATTTATTTTCAATTTTATCAAGAGATTATTGTTTCTTTGTCGTTTACCTTCTTCATCTTCCACATTTCGTTTGCTATTTCCAATTATTTTACCCCTCATATGTATACGTATCACCACCCGTGCACGCTTTATACTAAAAGTTCCCCAAAATTGTATAAACTAAAAAAAGAGCATACCCCCCTAATTTTATTGTCTTAGCTGACGCCAATATTCGTTTATTATTTTCAAGTATTTGCTGTGGGAATATTCTGAGATCCATTTTTCCTGTTTTCAAAGAGCAATCTATCTATTAGTTTATAAACACCAATATCTATATCGTTTTGCTTCTGAAAAAGAAGAAATAAGAGCCAAGGAAAAAAAGAAAAAGAAGAATAATTAGTTTCATACAAACATTTATATCTATCTAGTTATATATATATATATATATATATATATATATATTACTATATATATATATACATATATATATATATATCT